GCATGCAGAAGGACATTTCCTATCAGCAGAGAACACAAGCAAAGTGGACAACACAGGAGCCTACAGAAGGTGAAAAATTGCTTCTTTTTTTTTTACCAATTCCATATCTGATAGAATGCTAATTTACAGAATATTCAGTTGAGTTCTTGTTCCATGGTGTTCCATGGAAATCTTCAACCCAGGCTGATTCTAAGACAAGGAAGTGGTCACATTCCTAAAATTGGCAGTGGGTCCCCACAGCTGAGGCCAACACCCACACAACACATTGAACATGGAGAAGTTGAACTGCTGCCTCCAAGGAACTTTCACCCCCATGTTGTATTCTCTTTGGTGAGGGAAGGCACTCTGAATAACAAAGGGAAGGCTAACAAAAGTGAAATGTGGACACCAATGCAGCCACAAAACCTCTGACTTACATTCCAAAATATGCCAGGGAAACGGTGACACAGAAAATGTCAGATTAGCCAACCAGTGTCTGTTTTAACTTAAGGCCCACTCCGCAAATAGAAACCCACACCTGACCTATGTGTATAACTAAGTGCCAGAGTTAGATAGCCCGGAGTCCTAGGGTAAATACGAGCAATACTGATCTAAAAATAATCAATAAAATATTGATATCTTGCTATACTCACGGATCAGTGCCTCAGCCATTCATCATCAGAGGGGTTTCCGCTGGGAGCAGAAGTGTCAGGACCAGTGAAAAAGAGTCCATGTTGTCTTGCCCCAAGTTCAAAGTGCTCAAATCTGTCTTATTACCCATAACATATTAGTTTGGCAGCTACAGGATGCTTTGACCTTGGTGCTTGGTGTCTCTTATCTAAATAACAATAGACTTGGCACAAGTGTGTTTACTCTAGACCCAGAAGGCCAAATGGCAGGTGTGGCTACCAAATACCTAGAAGATTAAGGGAATAAAGTCTCTTTTCCCCTTATACTCCATGATAAAAATTTTATGTAATTTTGTCCTTACTTTTGGTTGAATGCATAAGATCATGAAAGAATAAACTAAGGGCATTCAGTATGGATTGAATGGCCCTCCTCACAGCTATCCTGCATCTGTCTTGGTTTCTTACCCCATTTAGCTAGCCTTTCTCTCGTCCACATTCCTCCTCTCAGGTATGAATCTTGTGCTTCTCGGTTGACTCTGACTGTAGCCCCACACAGACAGCTTCCGATACAGATGAGAACAGATATAGAGTCCAACAGCAAGATAATATATGGAAGGTGTCTAAATTAGAGGTCTCCATCATTTCTCTCCCATAAGAACTCTAGAAATTCAATGGAAGTTGAGGCTAAAGATTATAAGAGCCACAGGGAATGGAGGACACTAGTTGAACAAGGCCCTTTGAATCAACTAAAGAAGGCACATTTGAGCTCAAGGAGACCAAAACAGCAAGTACGGGGCCTACCTTAATCTACACCAGGTCTTCTGAATATGTATTATACCTATTGGCTTAGTATTAATATGGGATTCCTCATTGTGAGATCAAGGGGATCTCTGAATAAAGTAGCTACTGTTGGAACTCTTCTCCTGTTTGATATGGTAGTGTTTGCTTTATCGTAGTTTATTCTATTTTGTTGTTTGGTTGTTATCTCTTAGAAGCCTGTTCTTTTCTAATGAGAGGCAGAAAGTGAGTGGATCTGGAGGGGAAGGAAAGTTGTAAGGAATTGAGAGGATTAGAGGGAGCAGAAACCATAATTAGGATGTACTTTATAAAAAGAGAATTACTCTCCATAAAAGAAAAAAAACTATGACATAAAGATAATGATTTTTGGAGTATATTGAACAGTTTCTGAATCAGGAGAATACCAGTAATTAAAATCTCTTATTTCAATTTGTGTATGTGTGTCTTGTTGTGTGTGTGTGTGAGATATATATATATATATACATATATATATATAGAGATAGATAGAGAGAGAGAGAGAGATGTGGGAGGCAGAAAGTGTGTGTGTGTGTGTGTGTGTGTGTGTGTGTGTGTGTGTGTGTGTGTGTGTAGGGGACTAGATATGCATGTAAGCACAGTGTCCATGGAGGCTTCACTAAGTCTTGGGATTCCCTGGAGATCTATAGTTCTTTGCCTTCTGTGGTACTCCATGAGGTTTTCTGGAACCAACTCCCAGTCTTCTGCAAGAGCAACACATGCTGCTCTGCCAGGTCCTCTGTATTTCATTATGCTCACAGAACTGGGGTCATCCTTGTTAATTCCTGGGAATTACTCTATTTGCAGGTTTCCCACTAATCCCATAATGACTCCTCTATCAAGATAATTGTTTTCTTGTTCTCCAGTGCTCTTTCTCCAATTCAGCCATCCAATTCCCTCATAGTCACCTCCCCATTGCCCTTCCTTCTTCCCCTCTACTCTAACAACACCCTCTTATGCTCCTGATTTAATCAGGTGAGCTTGTCTATTTCCCAATTCCCCTTACTAGACTGATGCTTTTTTGTGTCTTTTAGGGTCTTCTTTGTTACCAGGTTCCACAGACAGTGAAGTCATCATAGATACATACATGCATACATACATACATACATGCTTGCATATATATTCATGCTCACTTAACTTAGTGCCACGGACTCTGAGTGAATATATGGTGTAAGAATTTTCATAATTTCCTTGGTTCTGTGCCTAGAGAGAGGTGCATTCTGCTATCTTGAGAACTCCTTTATGGACCATCAGACGATGGAATCTAACTATTGTCTCATTTCATCACTTGTGTGAAAGTACCCTACACATGTACCATAACAGATCTACCAGCACAAAAACAATAGCATCTTGGAAGGGGGACCAGGGCCCCACAGGTGTTCAAAGACCCCTGTTCTTAGCTAAAGGAAGAAAGGGTCTACCAATCTTCACTCTCAATGAAAATCCAGTGAGTGATGGAGCTAGTGTCCGGAGCCTGTGTCCTTCTCCTCTGTGTCTTTACTTGTCACAATCAGGCTCAGAGTACCTTCAGGAAAGTCCTAATATTGAGAAGGCTCAGGAATAATGAGCATGTCCCCTGCACTCTTGCTTTAGGCCTGGATCCTGCAAAATTGAGGTTGGTCATGTGCAGTCTCCATATGCCCCAGTTCTCTCTCCTAGTAACCTAGGCAACCACCAGGCCTCCATCCTGTCAGAAAAATCTCTTTTTCTCCCAGGTTATTGAATTCCTCTGGTACAGTGGTTTCAGGATAAGATTAACAACCTTACCTCTGCCACTGCCTCATGTCTAGAGTCCTCACTGGGCCTCAAGCTGAGTCAAGACATTAAAGGAACATGGATCTGCAACCTCTCATGAGAGAAAATCAGAATGGTGCAGGGGGAGAATGTCTGTCTATTTCAAAATGGCCGGGAGAGATTAACACGTTGCAATCATACAGGCAAATCATGTAGCATTGATGAAATGTATTGAAATGGCATCCCCATGGCAACTCCAATCAAGGCATCACTGGAATCTGTCTTGTACACCCAGACTTTGAAACATGCTTGAGGGTTTGAGAGCAGTGGCTATACTCCTAAGGCACTGAAAAGGCAACCGTGCTAAGTCTTGTGAAGATGCTGCCTGGCATATTGTAAGCGTGAGGAACATATGCTGGTCTGCTTCTCTAGCGAACAGTCCACCAAAGAGTGTGAGTCAGGAAGTGGGAACACACTGTGATGGGGGTTTCAATACTCAGGAATGCATCTCTAAATGGCATTACCTTTCTTCTAATATGGCCTCACTTCAGTCAGGTCACATTAACTGTGTTGATAGTTTTAAAATTCCTGGAGTGTGCCACAAGCTAGGCAGGCTCTGTTTCACTGACCCACCACACGCCAAACAAGTGTATCATTTGTTTAAGTGAGGTATCTACTTCCCAGTGAAAGGCTTGTTATAAAACCAACGGTCATCACACCCAGCTTTATAGTACCTCTCAAGTCAGATATGGTGTCCAGTAGCTTAGATTTTATCATCATTAAGCATAACAAATGGAACTGTAAGAAACAACACATAAGCTGTTCATATCTAGACTTTACACTGTAAAGGGAGGCTTTTGCCTTGAGAGGAGCCTTCCTGCCAGCCTGGTTCTAGATCCGCATCAGTCCCAAATAAACACAGGAGGCTATATTAATTATGAAGCTGTTGGCCTTGCTTGTTTCTTCCTGGCTAGCTCTGACTTAAGTAATTACCCCATAATTGTTAATCTATGTATTTCTCTTACCGGAGACGTTTCTGGGCTTCCTACCCCATGGCGTTACTTCTCAACTCTCCTGTGTTTCTCCTACCCAGAGTCCTTCTGGACTCCTAGTCCCTCCTATCTAGATTCCCTATTGGCCAGACAGTGCTTTATTAACAAATGCACA